GTAGCGCGGATTATGAGTATTGAAGTCGCATCTCAAGCGTGTCTCTATGTTCCTGCGCATGGCTTACATGTTACAGTAGGATTATAGAGAACGCGGTCCTGCGTGACACATGGACATGCATGCATTATTATGGATCGTGATGTGTGTGTTTTGTCGTTCAGGATTGACGGTAGAAGCTTTGAACGTATCAGGTTGTTGAGTGCCTCAGCTTCGCATTGCTTGCCTTGCTTTCTTCACCATCTGTGAGTTTCGTGGTATCATGCTAATAGAATGTCATTGTGTCCGGGCAATAGCACTCAGACTCCTTTCCAGCCATCCGAATACTCAGTACTTGGTCGTGCCATTCTAGTGCTATCCTAAGTTTTCATTTCGCTTATTCCTAAGACGTTCCTGCCACTTACATTCCATCCATCCTAGCCCTTGATTCGTGCTGACTGAGTGCTGCGACCGTGGATGGGCTCAGGCTTCCAACCAATTAATAAATTATGTATAGTACAGGATGCGATTCACACATCGTCTCAGTCTGTCAGTCAGGCAGGGGGAGATAATATCTGTCATGACAGTCAACGGCGTTGGAGGTAACGGCCTGACGGATTCAATTTAGAAATTTAAATGAATCATGTCAAGCTTGATGACGAGATAATGACTGGACAGAACTGATTGCAGCTCACTTGGAGCCGGTCCCACGAGTATTACGATCGTGGTGCGAGTGCGGCATGTCGCGATCTGACTGTGGATAGACGAGGACACGAAACTCGGGCTGCGGTGAGCACGACGACATGGCACTGACTGAGAGACTTGCTCATTGGAGGGTTGCGAAGTAAGCTCATGTCCGCGCGTGCGAGCATGCGTCTTGATGTCGCTGCACATGACGCGAGGCATGGGGATCCGAACGTTCGCTGTGATTTTGGTTTTCGGGGGCCCGGGGCTTGGGAGCAGACAAACTCTTTGGAGTCCCTCAGGGTTTAAGCTATGAGAGCTTAAACTTAAACTTAGAAGCCGAATTCCATAGGGGGTCTAGTTAACAGTTCGTTGTCGAGCAAGATCTCTAAAGCTCTTGGTCTAAGTGCAACATTGAGATAATATTTTCATTGTCTGATGTTCTTCATCAGATTCCAGAAAATTTGGGGGGGGGGGGGTTCCTTCAGATTCGGGTAGACTTGGGAGGGGAATTACTCCAGTGCCAGGTTGGCCAGGCTCCGTGATGCATTCAGGAATAACGCTCTAAACTCTTATTATCCAATGGTGATCGAAGTGGTAACAACTTAAAGCTTGATCCTCGTATCCTAACAAATCGGGTCTATAGGTCCCACCAGGTGGTATCCGCTCACTTGGAATCACTATTTAATTTAATAATATGATTTCTTCGGCCTGGTCTTATCCTGATAAGCGTTATGGGGTCCCTGTGTCCATCATAACACGTGGGTCCCAGTATCTTCACTCTTCATGTTGGGGGGTGCTTGGTACTGCAATCCTTCTGGGTCCTGCTTTCCTCAGAGGGGTCCTGCCCTAAAGGATAATTCCGAACTATAAACCAGTACTACCTCCAAATTACAACTAATACTTTAAGAGCTCAGAGCGAGGCTGTAAATATTTAGATTTGGCAGGTCGATGCCATGTCCATGCAATTCCGACGGGCGAAGGCAAATCCAACAATCTTGGGCTTCTCGAACTCCCATGTGCTATGCCGGCTATCTGATACAGCAGGAATCATGCAGCAGGAGGGATGATGCCACACATCACACTGTTGACAACAGTGAGACGTGAAATGGCTGCCAGTCGTGGAGCCGGACTCGAATTCCCATGTGCATTGTCGACAATCTGTCAAATGATGGCTGACACGTTGACCAGTCGGTGTCATTTCATGGTCGCACGGAACTTTCGCGGCATGAGCGTGAACTTGACAATTAGAACGCGGATGTGCAAGCACGCAGCCATGTTCGTCCAGTTGGCACACTGCAGTGAGGGGTCATCGTGCGTCATGCAATTCAATGCAATGCATGCAAAATAATAATTTAATCTTGACCGCACGTTGAATTGGCGATGTGTGGGGATGCGTGACTGTGCCGTACGTGGCATGCTAACACACCACTATATTCGGACACTGCATAATAATGGCATTGCAATGACCGGTTGTCGTGCGTCATGACAGGACATGCAATGCATGCGGATCCTGATCGCGTGTTCAATGGGGCATGGGTTTGGACGACTTCAGGGTGACTTTGGGGCTCACTGACTGGCTGGGCTGCTGTTATCCTAAAGCCTATAACCGTTGCATTCCAGCCTGGCGTCGTAATGAATTTATGATGAATATAATCGTTAGTCGTCGTGCTGTCGTGCTATCCGAAGTTTTACTTTTAATTGTCACCCTCCTGGCAGTTAACTTGTCATTGTGCAAATTGCACACGTACTTCGTGCTGTCCTGAGACTTACTTGAAAGTTAAAATGACGCTTTACCATCGAAACACACTTCGTACCATCCTAACACCATAATAACATAATAATGGGTCAGTGTTGGTCCTGGATTATCCTTACCTTAAAGTTGGGTCTGGGTATCCTTTCACTTGAAGCTTCAAGATGTCAGTCCGAGTATCTTAACGTTTTGGCTCTTTAAATAGAAACTTGCTAAATACCGTCTGGGTCCCTGTAGTATCCTGACCTCTAGGCCCTACTGCCCTCATAATTTAATGTTGATCCATGTACTGCCCGGTCGGTACAGTGGTAAAGATGTCGGAAGGATGGTGAGAACGATTCCTCCAGCGAGCTTCTGCCGCAATCGGAAGTCTTCGAGGCACTTCTGCTGAAAGGATTAATTACTATTATGTAGTAGTAAGTAGCAAAATGCTGGTTTGCAGGATTGCACAGCTGCAGTCGTACCATCTCGGACTGAGAGTTGCTTGCGGCTTATAAATCCTCTGTGCACCATGCTGCCATTATGCAACTCAGGATTCGTGCTGGCATCGTGAGAAACGGTGCATGCTACGAGCTGCAGCACTCTGTGTGTGCGTTAACGATTCTGTATCGGCCTCCCAGCGCTCAGATGGTTTCGTACTAAGTTCAGATGCCTTGACCCGAGACTCTGTCAGTCAATTCAATGCCAATGTCCATCAGCTATTCCGATTCCGGGCCGATGTCGCCCACGATGTCCAGTAGTCTACAAGCGTGGGGAGAAGTCGTTCTCTGATTGGCGTGTTGGGCTCTTTTTCAGAGCCCGCAATAACCGGAACATCCAGAACAGTCGCAGTAGCAGCAACATAACAGTAAGTAACACAATAATAAGCAGCAGCAGCAGTCAGAGCAGTTTGCAGTAGGGGTTTTGGCTGGACTAGGGCTTAGGACTTACCCAGTGCCAGGCCTCCAGACCAGGACTGACAGATAATGGGAGCCCTGCCAAGATGTTTGCAACTCAACTCTTTAGAGGCTGCTCCTGGCCTGCAGGACCGCGGGACCTAACCGCCCTTTGATTTTAGATGAAAGGGGCGCGTGCAATAACAAATGACTGCATTACTATTATTTACAAAAAAACTATTTAATAAAACCCCTGAACTCGTCGTCCAAAAAACTCATGCTTTTATTTTTTGTTCGGGCGTCATGGCCAGACTCAGAGCGCATGCAGTGGAATTTAGCACCGATTGCGACACGGATGGACTGACTGGAGACAGCGGGGAATTGCACCGGCGCGGCGTAATGACGCCCTAAACCCTAGAGAAATTGCATGCGCAACTTGAAGGCCCAGTTGTAACTTGAAGGCCCGAATGCACGGACACAGCCTTGTTTATAGCTTCGTTACTGAAACGAAGCACTCTTTCTTCTGTTTATTTCGTTCGTAAGATATTCTGCTTTGGTTATTGGGTTTTGGGGTTCGAGTAAGTCCAGCCCCGCTCTGCTCCACTCCCATTCCATTTGTCAAGGCATCGGGATTCCCTCATTATCGAATCAGAGAGCATAAAATGCACTAAATGAAGGAATGTACCTGCAATAAACTTTGTCATAGTTGAGGACCATTTTCAATTTCGTTGGTACTTAGACCCAATAAGGAATAGAAACTTATGTCTTGAATGCGGTCCCAGGTCCCAACCATGAACTAGTAATGGGGCTTGATCTTATGATCCAAGGTCTACTCCTGAATGAAGGAGTATGGGGCGCCCTGGGAAGGGAACTCGAAAACTCAAGAAACAGCCATAAGGTGAAAGATAATGTCGGTCCTCATGATAGTCCCGACAAGCATGTATTCATAGTTTTGAGATAAAAGCACCATTTTGAGTCCCTACACAATGAATATGTAGAGCAGCCAATCTAACCACTTGTTCTAAGTACGAAGGCCACTGCGGTAGGATCTTTGGAGAAGCAAGTGCGCTCCCGTTGGTCCCTCCTTCTGGTCGCGAAAGGGGAACCTGTGGGTTTCCGATGGGGTCTGCCCAAGTAATTGCCGAAGTTCACCAGCTCCACATGCGCAGAGGTTTTGACATGAGAAATGAAGTTCTTTGACTGTTAATTACAGTGATTGTAGGGGTCGCAACAAAACAATTGTAGTATCATTTCCTTCTAATAGTCCTTATTGTAACCGGTCCCTAACCGAATTCCAATGATTCCGGCACTGATATGATCTTGTCAACGAATCTGCAACGCTCCATTAGAGTCTGAGGTCTGCTTTAGATTTCGCTTATCGTCTTGGTTTACAACTTGTACAGGTAGAGTCCACAAATCCGGTCGAGTCAACTGAGGTTGTTCTCGTTCTTTCCAACATCAACGACTGCTGCCCGCAATATAGGCGTTTTCATAGTTACCCATATTACTTTGGGCGGCTCCCTATAATCATTTGAGTATAACGGGCCTCAAAATTCAAGCCTTACTCAACCCGGGAGCAAACCACCAAAATCCTAAAGTTAGAAGACAGGCCTATAGAACCCTGTAGGGTTCAGGATTTAGGGTAGATCCCCCCCCTCACGTCAAGACCTCAGGAACTAAAGTACAGCGCTTCTTTTGTCCCTCTTGGTCAGTTGCCCGTGATCTTCCTGAACTTGAACTTGATGCCCTCAACGCCGGGGTCCTCGGAAGTCTCATTCATGGTTGGAGGTGAAAGGTCTAAAGCAGATTTAGTACAGTGATTTGAACAATTTGTGGTTATGCCCCCCTAGTCAGTAGATAAATGAGCTGTAAATCATATTCGTTCTCTTTCTAACTACCTCTACTTATATGCACACACCCCAGAACTCTGAGTCAAGGCGTTTTTTGGAGCGGGATTTGGAGTCGGTTTGGTCGTGCTGTGTCGCTGTGAATGTAAATTTTTAAGACGATAGTTTCTACCTGCAGTCCAATCTCGGCAATAGGAAGTTTTGACCCTCTAGTTACGGTATAACCCTTCAGATAGTTTGGGGAAGTTCCGACTACTTGTCAGTCGGACCCCGTGTTGGAGTTATAGCGGAACGTGGTGTTGCGCACTTGTGCTGTCGGGTTCACCACATCAGTTCTGTACATGCAAGCTTTAATGGCCACGGGCGATAACTGAGTCAAGCCATGTTTATGTGTATGTATATACACATACATACCTGAGGAAGAGAGCCACATCAATAAAGTTAACATGCCCCGGGTTGCAACGAATCGGAGTTTCGTCACTCGGGAGGATTTGCTGCAGGGCACTTGGCTGCTGCACTTTACTTCCTGCTTGCAGGTCTTTGGTGACTCTACGGGTTTAGGATTTATGGATCTTTAGGGTTTTAGGGGTTACGGTTTGGTGTTCGTGCGCTTGTTATGAGGAGGATTGTAGCTGAACCCTGAGCCGGACGCACAGTGACTCGAAGGCTGAAAGATCCCCATGATCCCGTCATCTGCAAACTCTCTATCTCCTTCTCTATGTATATGTACGTGTCCAAAAAACTCTATCAATTCTGGCCGTGTGCTTTTGAAAGTGCAGGGACAGCAAAGCACGAATGAAGACTCAAGCCCCAAGTCCTCGCCATCGTGATGCCCTGGCCCAAACTCGAAAACTTATCGACCGTCGGCGAGGAACAAGTGGGACATGAACTATCTTCGCCCGGCCACTCAGAGACGGTGTCACGTTACAGCTCTTGAATCCGGGTGCAGTCCTTTCTCTGCTTACCGGTTGTACTGATGGGAGTACGTCGTCGTCGTTGCAGTAGTAGTCTTTGAAACCACTGGTAGTTGTAGTAGAAAGCCGTGGATTAGCACTTGCGATCCTGACGGTGACAAGAGTTCGACGACATTAAAACAGGATGAGCCCGAGAACCACGACTACTGTTGGATCTTGCGACTATCCTCCCTGCCCGGTATTTGCTAATTAAGGATCGATCACGAAGCAACAACTGCCAGGTCTGGTCGCGTTGCAGTGCTGGGGTTCGAACGAACGGAGGGCTTCCTCCCAACGCCGGCAAACCCTCTGCCCCCCTTACCCTGAAACCCTTGCAATCTCACATCCTATTGCCCTCAATTCCAAGCCCTGCAGCATCGGTATAGACCTTGAAATCACAAAGCAAGAACCCCTTCAATGCCGATGTCTATACATAATGGTTACATGAATCTCCAGGCTTGCTTGGCAGCCAGCAGCATCGGTCCGCAAAGAATGAGCCTAGCAACTGGTGAAAAATGCTCACATCTATAGCCTCCATGATAGCCCCAAAGACGGCTAGCGGCCTGTGTGGCAGGATCCCAGAGCAGAAAACAAGATAACCCCAAAAGGGAACTACGGTGGATGTAGCAACATGTGGCTGATATATGACACTCATACTGAGATAGGGTATTAATCATAAAGAATATGCTACAGTAAGATGCTAAAATCAGTAAGATGCTAAAATAAGATAGAGTAACTTTCCCACCGGCCAACGGCCATTACCCCCAATGCCACCTGACGCTTCAGGTAGGCACACCAACGAATGGCCCGGTATGAACGTGTTGAGGTCTGCAGGCCGGACGCAAGGGCTTTTGCGAACAGATCGCTTCTTGTTCGGATTAGGAGTTGAACTTACGCGAGCTTGGTGCAATACATACATACATACGTACATACATATATACATACAGACATACATACATAAATAAATAATTACATACTTTGCACATGAGTGTCACCGTACCCCACTCATACCACAGTATACAAGCTCAAGATGTGCCCACTCACCTCTTGTGCACTTGCCAGGGACACAGCAAGTGGATAGCCGGGCACGCAGGCTGGCAAAGCCTTTTTGAGAGCTCCTGCTGACAGACAGCGAACACACAAGCAGGCAAAATCACACGCATTCGTTCTCTGGTCGGTGTCTGCAGCAGTTTGAACCTGATGCAACTGCGCAAGCAACACAGTCACAAAACGGACGCGTCCAACAAGGACCGCGACCGCGCAGTGTGCAGCAGCACACATGAGGCGGGAGGGCATGAGCCGCCGCACCTCGTCTTGAGTGCCTCACACATGCAACTGGCAAAACTCTTGCCACATACAGGAGCCCCCAGCACATCTCGAGCAACACATGTCCATCTCCAACCAAGCTGCACAGAAAGTTCCAACTTCCTGGCGCACTTGGTCTCCAGACGGTCTCTGCGTTCCTCAACAGCAGGAATCAGGAAGCACCAGAACAGCCACCAACAGTGTAGACTCTGGACAAAGTCCACATTCCTTCGAACAGCCCCCAAGTGTGAACATGAGTGTCACCGTACCCCATTCATACCAGAGTATACAAGCTCAAGATGTGCCCACTCACCTCCCGTCCATGCCAGAGACGCAGCAAGGGGATAGCCAGGCGCGCACGCTGGCAAATTCGCTCTTGAGAAAGCGAACATGCAAGCAAGCAAAATCACTGGCAATACATACAGACATACAGACATACATACATGCATACATACATAGCTACGTAAATACCTACATACATAATATATACATACATACACATGCATATCTACGGGTTTGTTTAAGGATTTCCAAGCCAGCAGAAGGAGGGGCCTTGTGAGGCTTCGTACGGTTAGGAATGCAGTATTATATGGGGGACCTGCATTGAGAATGTTTGTGTGTATCGGGTGTATCTTAGGCCTTAACGAGGTCCTCATAGTAGGACTGGCAGAGGCAAAGTGCATTCTAAATTGCTGCATGGGCGCAGTGACAAGAGGTGTCAGACCCACGCCGGGCACCAAACCCCGGACCCTAAAAAGTATGCGCGGCCTAGTAGATGCCAAAACTTAAATAAAGTGCATCGGAGCGATTTAATGACAGGTGGCGAGAACCGCTATCTCTACTACGTGCCGGTGCCCCTGGGTGGGTTTAGCAGGGCAGAGTCCAGTTCGTGACTTGTGCAGCTTGTATCTGGGGTTCAGGGTTTAGGCGGGTTTAGGGCTTCGGGCTTGCAGGATCGTGAGGAGGCTGAACTTGAAGCATGGCTGCCCTGCTTCCCCAAAATACCAGGACCTAGAACCCTAAACCGTTCAACCTACCAACCTTCTAGACCATAATAAACCCTGCTACTCTTAAACTCTACGCCCCAAGCCCTCAACATCAATTTCTACCAGTCCCAGTCCAGGAGCAGTCAGATCGAGATATGGCGGCCTTCGCCAGCGCCCCACGCCATGCGAGCCGAAGCTCTCAGAGATCTGGTCGTATTGTTTGCGGTTGAGGGATTAGCACTTAGGGCTTCTCGGGCTTAGGTTGAGGGGTGAGCGTTTAGGGTTCCGTAATTTAGGGCTTGCTGCTTGTTTTTGGAGAGGGGGCAGGGGTGAGGGGCATTGTAGTTTGGTCGGCAGGGGTGTTATGGCTTTGTGTTTTGGTTGGAGGTCGAAGGAGGGCCTCAGGGTTCAGGGCTTCGGGGCTGTGGGTTTTTTTGGATCTGTTTGACTGCTTCTTCGGAGAGGGGAAGGGGGGCTTCAGTGGGTTTGGAGCTTTGGGGCCATTAGAGGTTTGGGACTGTGGGGTTTGGGGGGTTGGAGATCTAGGAGTTTCGGGCTGTGAGATTTTGGGGGCTTTAGGGATGTTTTGGCATGTTCACTGGCTGTACATGACTTGAGACTTGCCGGTCCACTGCCGCTGACCACTTTCAATCCGTGAACCCCTAAACCCTCAAGTACACGATCATGGCCAGCAAGCGCTACAGCGTACATCCCGGACGGGAGCTTCATAAATGTAGACAGGCCACACACCTTGAGCCCCCCATACAAACGCAAGAATATGTAAGGGTCCGAAAAGGAGCCCCTCTTTTCAGAAAAGTGTTATCCGTTTCAGATGACTTCTACAACCCTACCGAATCTATGCCTGATTCGAGGTTCCCCTGCCTTCCTTAGTACATACGGCAATTTTGAAATACCTTAACTGCAGTCACAAGTACAGACAACAATATCGATGCTATGTTGCAGGGCCCTTAATAATTAAATTAGAATAGGATTTGGGGGTTTATTATACCAGAGTTCTAACAAGGAACCCCCATTCTAATTATCGAAGGCCCTTACACTACGTAGGTTCATTACCTCAGGATGTTGGGATGTATGCATTCTCACAGCGGCCAGGCTCGGACATGCGTTTGTCCTTCGAGGGGTTTCTGGATACTGCCAAGCAGGACCCGGGTCTTTACGCCCTGCGGAGCCTAAACCCCTAAATCCCCAGACTCAGACCCTCAGCCTTGAGCCGTGCGTCGCATTACTTCAGGCCTTGTGGATTTGCGGGCAGTTAGGGACTTGGGGCTTTCTTGCGGTCTGAAGGTTTCATCGTCCACCACCCGGCCAAGTACCCGGAACCCTTCTTTCTGACTGACTCTACGCGGTTCTACGGACTACATGCCATACTCTCTGGATATGCGAAGCTTCTCGAGTTCGGCCTAGCAGTTGTGACCCTGTTCGGGGAAATGTCTTCGTAAACCTTTCGAATTCTAAAGCAACACCAAATACTAACCTTGCCCTAAACCCTAAAGCATGGATAAACCCGAAGCTACACTACCTCTCGACCCCAAGATCCCAATCAGGATCCAAGCGGCCGCTACTATCTCCAAGCTCCGCTCGTTCTGCCAGGGACTCGGGCAAGACAGGACGCCAGACAGGGGCGGTTGTTCAGTGTGTCGGTTGGCTGATGTTGGATTTGGGACTTTGCCTACTTTTCCAGGGGATCTACTGACGATCCCCCAGGTTCTTGGAGACTGTTCCTGGACCTTTTGCAGACCTGCAACACGGGCAGGCGTTTAGGGTTGTCGGATTGCGACATGTTCCGAGCAGAACAGGGGGGTTTCGGGTTTGAAGATGTTTCGGGCTATATTACACAGATGTTTAATCGTAACTACACCCAGGTGGACATCAAGGTTCCATATCTGCGCTACCTGTCTATCTTCTATGTGTCCGTTCACCCACGTGTCTATCTCTATACATTTAGATTTGTGGTGTGTTTGTGTACCTGACGCTTGTGTGCTTTGCTGGTTGGGTATACATACATTCCATACAGACAGACAAATATATATATATATATATATATATATATACACATACATACATACATATATATATATATATATATATACATATACACAGATGTGTATATATATATATATGTAGAGATATTGTTTTAGATGCAGGTTTAACTCTTTCCAACCGGACACGCTTAGGCGCCAACCCACGGACGCTGGACTAACGGAGACGTGGTCCCCTGGCATCGATGCAGAGCTGCGCAAGGACTCCGACTAGGGTCCTGGGTATGGTTATGGGGGATACTCCCCCAAATCATAGGAGTAATTCTCATAGAGTAATATAGAAACTTCTACTCTATAGGTACTTTGGACCCTTTGGGTTCCTGAAGGGCTTACAAAGGTGATCAGACCCGAAGCCCCGGCTGGCAGCTTGCCAGGTCTCAGGATCACCGTGCGACCTTCTCGGCACCCTGCATGGGTTTAGGGCCAAAAAGCTTAGTTGCTGAGTGGATACACTTTACACTTTTGGGGATAATACTACCCACTATAAAACTGAGCAACTAAGTAAGGCTTGTAGAGCCAATTTTGGCGCTTTGGGGCTTTGAAGCTTTGTTGTTTAGGGGGCTTAGTCTGCGGGTATCAGCCTAATAATACAAAGGAGCTTTTTTCTCCGAAGATTTTGTAGGAGATTTGGGCCGCATCGGCTCAATGACGAAGCCGAGAGTTTCAGTTTTGTTCCTTCTGGCGAGATCACAGAGGCATCTTCCGCGGATTGATTCGGAGGGAGGTGGCATGAGCTTAAGTTTCGAGGATTGGGGTTCGGGCTAGGATGTGAGCTGCAAGGTTTACAGAATTGCGGCGTTTCGGCTTTGGTGAGGAATGCCATGCTAGAACGCCGTCTTCACAGGAAGATTTGATACTGGGAACAGAGCTCTTCAAGTCGTTTTCTCTTCAAGACCCCTTCTATTCTTCGAATCCAAAACATCCTAGACTTCTTTGTAAGTCCACTCCTATTCTCTTAAGCCCTCGGTTCCGTCCGAATGACCCTCGACCTTCGAGTCTTGCGGCTACATGGCAGGGGCCTGAATAGTTACCAATAAAATTTGAGTGTTCCTTAGTATGTATAACTATAGTATAATCTACCCCAAACCCTGTTCTAATTATTATAAGGCCCCTATATCAGCTTTTCTGCGAAGCAGGATTGCGAGCAGCGAGTGAACCGAGAGCGCCTGGAAGCCTTGCAGGCGGGATGGTACTATAGAGACCTTGACATAGAATAGGGTTTGGGCGCATATCATACTATAGTCATAGTAAGAAACCAAGTATAGGTAGTACTTCGGCCCCTATAGTACACGAACGGTCTTGGTCTCAGACCTACAGCCCTCCATCTAGCATTTGGGGTTCGATTTGAGGTTCAAGGGTTGAAGTTCTTGAAGAAAGAGGATTTGGTGTTCGAGTAGCTACCCCAAGGGCCTAAGGATCCGGATATACGGGCCTTGGATCTTGGATACGATATTTGATAAAGTCTTCGGGTACGTTTGAGCCATTGCTTACAGGTGGGTTTCAAAGGGGGCTAAGGAGTGTAGAGTCAAGGGCTAAGTGCACTTAGTTAAGATCGTAGTACTCTGGCATATGTTATCATATTATTGTGGTCCCTCATTGCTGGAACTTCCATTTGCCGTGGGGCACAGGTTGAAAATGGCCCATGCAGCGGTCTCCAATTGAGCAGTACAATTAACTGACATGGCGGGCTTTCGATAACCATGTAGTCGTAGCAGCAGCAGTAGTAAGGGTAGTCGTGTCGTCCTCGTAGTAGTAGTAGTAGTAGTAGTAGTTGTTGTTGTTGTAGGAGCAGCGGAAGGGATAAAAGTGTTTGTACTGGTACTAAGAGCACAGGCACGAGCACTAGCAGTAATTGTAGCAGTAGCAGTAGCAGTAGCAGTAGCAGTAGCAGTAGCAGTAGCAGTAGCAGTAGCAGTAGCAGTAGTAGTAGTAGTAGTAGTAGTAGTAGTAGTAGTAGTAGTAGTAGTAGTAGTAGTAGTAGTAGTAGTAATAGTAGTAGTAGTAGTAGTAGTAGTAGTAGTAGCAAGGAGGTAGACGCGGAGGAGGTAGATTTTCTTTAGGTCATGGCCTGAAGCCCAGCATAGCCTAAATTGCGTGCTTCAATCAAGGCTGGGCTCGCTAGGATGAGCACAATAAGCCTAGTCGTCCCTAGCCCCAAACACGAACCCTTCACTGCCAGCCATGAACACAGACCTCTAAAGCCGCAAATCGGAACCCTTCCAACCACCAAGTCGGACCCTTCAAGATAAGCCAGAGTGTAGAAGTGTGAACAATTCATTGTATTCACATCCCTTCCAGAATTTCTATAACGATTTACATGACTCTATCATGGGCCCGCAAAGCCCTATTTCAGTTGTTAAGGCCTCTTGAACCCAATGATTTTGCGCCCCTTCAAAAGTGCACCTAATAGCAGAACTCGTACAGTCGAGGTTCTAGGAGCGCTTTAATTGAAGGAACTCTCTTCCAATAACTAAGGCCCTAAACCCTAAACCCTAATCTATTAACTAAGGCAGTGGAGTATCCCTAAACCTATTCCAATCGTTGAGGCGCTAAGCCCTAAACCCACTAAACCCTAAACCCTATTTCAATATGTAAGGCCCGAAGCCGAACACCCAAAACCCTAAACCCTATTCTAATGATTATGATTAAGGCCCTGGCTCACCCCTTTTTCAGGAACCCTATTCCACTAGTTAGTTGAGGCACTAAACCCTAAACAACCCTATTCCCCTGGTTAAGGCTTTGGATTAGCCCTTTAAAGGAACCCTATCCTTAACCCAAAACATCTTACCATCTCAAACCCTAAACCCTAAACCACCCTGGATTATCCCTCCAACAGAACCGTATATATCCTTTTAAAGGAACCCCATTCCAATATCTAAGGCCCTGGCTTACCCCATGCAAGGCGGCGGGCGGTTTCGGCTTCTGGTCTCGCTCGCAGCTCTTCGTGGGTCCGTCGGAGAGCTGGGGCCCTGAAAAAACGGATGCCAAGATACCATAACAGGGATCTATTTAGGGGTCTATAAGGGTTTCTTTAAGGGTTTTGGGGTTAAGGTTTAAGTTACCAGAAAAGGCATTGCGTCGTAGTGCCACAGCTAAGACAGCTTGCTTCACAGGCTATAAAAGGCATTCATAGTAAACAACGGGGTTTCTTTAGTAATTATAGGATGATTTAGTTGCTTTGGAAGGAAGGTTTATCTGGGTTCAGGGCTAAGGACTTTTAGTAGGGTTTGAGGTCTAGGTCTAGGGCTTGGAGGCCGTTAAAGCCTCTACGATCCGCAGATCCAATGACCAACCATGTGCCGGGGCCATGCTCTGTTTGGTCACTGAGCCCGGAAAGCACTAACCCTGAACCCGAACCCTGAACTTCAAGCAGTAAATCTTAAACTCGGCGAGGCTTATCTCCGGCGCACTACGACCAGTACGTGAGGATCCCGGAAGTTGAATTTTGCAGTGTGGTGCAGTCATCAGCTACTACTGGAGTTTTGGGTTTGGGTTCTGGGGCTTAGCGGTTGAGGGGTTTTGGGTTTAGCGTTGTAAGACTTGCCGGAGTATGGATGGTAGCATCCGTCGAATCTGTTGTATTGATGGCCTCTCTAGTCGCAAGCTGCTTGTGGTTCTGGAAAACTCCTTGCCGCTAAAAGTCGTGCTGAGGAATGTCATGGCGTTGATGGTGAAGACGATGATGTATGTAAATGTACCTATATGTTGGTGATGGCACATGGGCACTTTCGATAATGCTCAAGATGAGCAGCGACATGATTTTCATGCTCACAAGCAGCATTATATGACACCACTATGAAGCGTTCGCGGACAATGGCAGGGTATGCCAGCTTCTGTTGTCTGTCGAGGACCATACCGTTGCTGCTAGGCTGGGTCTGCAAGGTGTCATGCAGGTTCTGGTACTTGAACCACTTCGGCGTAGTCATCTTCTTAGCAGTAGCAGTAGGAGTAGCAGTAGCACAAGTAGTGGAAGCAGTAGCAGTCACCGTCGTCATCGTCATACCCGTAGCACCAGCCGTAGTAGTAGTAGTAGTAGTAGTAGTAGTAGTAGTAGTAGTAGTAGTAGTAGCAGTAGTAGTAATAGTAGCAGAAGAAGTAGTAGTAGTAGCAGTAGTAGTAGTGGTAGTGGTAGTGGTAGTGGTAGTGGTAGTGGTAGTGGTAGTGGTAGTGGTAGTGGTAGCGGTAGCGGTAGCGGTAGCGGTAGCGGTAGCGGTAGGGGTAGTATTAGTGGTAGTGGTAGTGGTAGTGGTAGTGGTAGTGGTAGTGGTAGTAGTGGCAGTAGTAGGAGTAGGAGTACAAGTAGGAGCAGGAGTCGTCATAGTCGTAGTGGTAGCAGCAGCAGTTGTCGTAGCAATTTCTGCGGAATTCTGTTATTCGAGACCTGGTGGTCACGCCAAGGACAACATCTACATGCAGGCGCACAGAGTACGTTGAAAGGTCGAGTTTGGGTAGCTCCGAGCGATGCGTAGGTTTCGAGTTTTGGCTTTGCGTTCCTGGGCAAAGGGTTTGTCTGTAGCCTAGCAGAAAGACCTATGACCCGCACAGACACACACACACACAAACACATTCAGATCAGCACGCTGAACCCCGTTTAGTCAAGTTTAACTCCTTTACTCTGCTGGGACCTCGGAAACTGGCCAACCTTCCTTAGGGCAGCACGCGCGTTAGAGTAGATGATCAGACGAGATGGAATGTTAAGCAGGACCATACCCTGATACTGATACTGTGGGTGTCGCAAAGTTTGTCCACTCGGGGGTTCTAAATTGCTGAAGTACAGGGGTAGCGTGGGGATACCCTTCAAGGGCCTAGCCCCAATACTACGCGGTAGCGGGAGCAGGCCAGATAAATTGAACCCAGATGTCTATTTAATTTGGAGTCTTCACAATTCCCATAGGGTTTTGGTTATATCATTACAGTAAGTCATTAGGCTTCGGATCCACATCGCCGAGCTGCAAATTGAAGGGCGATTGGCCGTTAGCTTTAGGCGAGCCGATGGGCTAAGGGCTTGGAGACAAATTCGAGCAAAAGCCATCGAGAACTTCATAGAGGCAAATTCCACCGAAGGGCGGTTTTCTGAGTGTTCCCGGGCTCGAACAAAAGATCTGCAGATTCTGGAGACATTGAACAATGCAGCTTCCTTCGCGTAGAGGAAGGTGCCTCAGGCTCTAATCCATGTTAGCATGTCTTTTTGTATACCTAGACCTATATCTATACCGCCCATATCGAAAATGTCGATCTAGGAACCTTTATATCTCATATACCTTAATCTATATCGGTGACTATATGTAGATTTGTTTGTTTGTATAACATATATAGATATACATATGTATATGATGTGTATATTCATATGTATATATATATATACATATATATATATATATATATATATTCATACTATGTGCTGGTGTGTATGCACGTCTTTCGACCATTGTGGGTATGTGTGCAAGCAGGTGGAAGGCGAGAAGCACTTCCTCCTCTTCGATCCCCGTGCTGCTGAAGGGTCGGTGACTAAGACAGGGTCTTCATGATTCGATCAAGGTGTTGGTGTAGATTAAACTTAAACTATAGCTATGGTAGATAAGCCTCATTAAAAGTCCGCAGGTTAGGTCGCGAACGTCCATGGTGGGCTTATATGCAATTTTGGTGAGTGGGAATATGTAGTGGCAGGGGAACAATTTCGCAGCTTCAGAGTTGAAGGTGTGAATGGTTCCTTCTTGCTTAATGCCTAGCAACTCAAGGTAGTTCTTGTGCTGATCGCCTACTTTTATGATTGGGCTCCTGTGCAAAAGCGAGGTGGCGCCGACATCCTAAGTCCGATGTTCACAAAATGCCAAACATATTGTACACTGGAGACCAGAAGTAAGGTCTGTGCTGTTTGGGTGTTTGTTTGCCATCCCCAACGGTTTCACTCCCAAAAGCCAAACCCCTACGAACCCTAAACCCCTAAAGCCCAAACCCTTCATTGCAAGATGCAGCCATTGAGCTGACCGTTCGTTTGCCCAGAGTCATCGTCACCTTCAGGTGATCAGTGCTCCGTAGTTGGGATGCTCCCGAGAATGCAGGTTAAGGGTTTATTGGGGTTAGGGACGGCATGACCATTTAGGTCCAGATCCTGTATAGCGGGGTTTTGGAGACCCTACTATTTAGGTTCCAAAGTACTAAGACCTTTATTGTATAAGCCCTGGTACGAAACAGCCATTTCAGTTCAGTCAGGAAGTATTTGTAGGTGCAGGTCCTAGCCCTGAACGGGGAATGGCGATGCAAGATCCGATCAAGACGGAGGCTTTATTCGGGCCTTGGGATTTAAGGGGGTGCTAGCTTCTTTAGTTGCAAGGCTGCTGACTTCGAGCATAGTCTTCGGGGGTTTTAGACATTTTTGACAGACTTTAGGACGTCCGTGCACCTGTGGCAGGCTCTATGCTTTTCCGGTGTCGCATCCTTACGATGAGTATGCCATGGCCGCTGCCTTACGAGTCCTCGGCAGTCGACTCGGCATTCTCATCGTTCTTGTGACGGTTCAGGGTTATTCTTGATCGTTTTCATCTCCATGGTAGGACATCAAACCGATTCTTCGGAGCCCAGAGCCCAAATTTGCTTAGGTCCAGCAATTACCAGCAATGCCATGGTCTTCTTGTGTGAGCTTCTGTATACCCAGTGATCCATGGCAGGGCTTCCTCAATTGCCTTTTGCGTAGTGCGGAGTCTTTAAGGGTCCACTTTTTGTGCAGCTCCTCAACCACAAAATCGTTCAATCTTCAGTCCTTGACCGAACCTGTGGTTTGTTTTTGTCTTTGTGTGTGTGTGTGTTTTGTTTTGTGTGTGTGTATATGTTGTTCTTTTGTGTGGGGCTTCTTCGAAACTACTTGTCAGGTACGACGCGGGTTGAACCGTGCTCCGTCCACAAAATCTCATATCCAAGTCTTCAAGCTATAGATAGACAAGGACCTACGGCTAGAGCCTCACTCAGGGACCGTCAAAGCCACAGAAGCATACGCCGTATTCGCTCATGAGGATATCGAATCCTGAGCTTGCCTTCATCAGCTCAAGTTTAGAAGGTTTTCTTCAAAGCGACCTAAGTCCATAGGTATTTATATGGGGGATCCTTACCCAAACAGAATGGTACTTCCTGCTATTCAAAACCTTTGGGTCCAGGTCGACCTGCAGAACGTGGACTCGAAGAGTTTCCCTCGGGCCCGACGTGCTCCCTGGCACGACGGACAGCGATCCCTTCCGATGGTTTGGCTTTGCCTCTCTTATCCACAATGATTAGGATTTTTTGGGATATAGGGGCCTTGACAATTACCCATACACTATTTTGGGGGATTCCTTATCATGGTTATAGTATAATGGCCCCCGCAACCCTCCTCTAGTTATTAAGGCCCCTGCATTGCTCCCCACAGCCTTGCAGAAGCAAGGTTGTCCCATATAACTCATTTCTGAGGGGAGGGCCGTATGCAAAGGACTGTGGTTCCTAGTCTAGGGGTCAGAGCTTCGGGACTAGAGTTTAAGGATCATTTAAGTGAGGAAGCACTGCCGGACGGTGATTTTGTTCGGGTTGATACAGTGCACGGATTGGGGAGGGAATGCATTGAATAAATGTTGTTATATACAGCCTCCCTAGTAACTGAGTGGATACACTTTACACTTTTTGGGGTCATATTACGCACAATAAAACTGAAAGTGTATACACTTTTTGTGGCTTGTGAACTCAGCAACTAAGTCTCTGGGTTCGTTCAGTTCACCGAGGCTTTAGAGAAGAGGGGCGCGGCGACTTTGGCAGCAGCCAGATTTCCGAATTCCTGGGTCCTTGCCGAAGAACGTGTGTCAAGTTCCTTCGCTGGGGCGCGGCCAGGGGGATGCACAGCAGCTAATGTGGTTTCATTATAGGACCAAAAAAGTTTAGATTCCTCAAGAGCCCGATTCTTTCTAGGTACCTTATCCCTGTCATCAACATCCCACAGATGAAACTCCAGGCCCCGAACCTCGAAAGGCATCGCCTCGCATTGATCCATGCTCGTGGCTTCAACAGTAATCTAGGGCTTTGAGAATGGCTAGAGGCAAAAAAAACATTCCGGCCGTATATACTTACACTTTGACAGACGTCAAATCCCCATCCGAATTTCGCGAAATGCCCTTGTTGTCAATCCCTCACACGCTAGATCGAAGCCTTTCGAGCCTTGTGATATGACCCTTCAACCTGAAAGGCCCTCCGAATAATTTCACTTCAAGCCCTAATTAAGCCCAAACCCTTAACCCCGAACCCCGAGAGCTCACAACCCAAACCCCGAAACCTAAAACCCTACGAAAGCCCACATCCGCACAGGATCCAAGCATTGTTACGGCCCCTATATAATCGTACCGTACCCTTATAGCTCCCTTATAGTAGCCCTTATATAGCGTTTAAAGGAACCCTTATTCTAATCATTAAGGCCCCTATAGTAGATTGGGAGTCAATGCAAAGCTCAGGTGGCCACTCTGCGGCCCGGCGAAGCTTTGTTTATTCCCACGCCCGGGGACTCAACGAGACATCAGGGGTTAAAAAATGTGCCTAAAATAAGTACCTATACCTTGGTGCGGGTTCCTCATTATAATTATAGTATAATGGGCCCCAAAACCCTATTCTAATTTCAACAGCCTCTCAACAAATATTTATAGCTAGGGCAGCTAGGGCCGTATATTGAACCAATAAGGAAGTTAACACATGTAGGAAACTAGTATAAGCCGTGCATCTGAAAAAAACTAGGGACTAAGGACCCCCACAGCGTGAACCTGTCTCGCTGCACTCCTACTGCTCCTTATTCCCATAAACGACTTCAAGCCTGCAAAAAGCCTCAATAATTGGAATAAGGGTTCCTTTAAACGGGTCTATATAAGGGCTACTATAAGGGATCTATGAGGGCACTAGTATATAGGGGCCTTAACAATTAGAAATTGAATCTGAACATACCCCGACCCCCCCTGAAAATTCTAAGCACCTGAAGTCTACACCCCTGAACTCGAAAACAAAAAAGCCGGAAACAAGATCCTGAACTCTAAACCCAAACCCCTCGACTCCTCAACCCCAAAACCCTGAAAACCGGACGTCCTAATGTAGTCATCAGGTTTGCCTGTCGGCAGTCAGTTCTCTGTCGTCTCTGCCCCGAAACCGAAGCCCTACCGGGACCAAGAAGGACCTACCTTTTTGGGGACTCATATGAGAGAATCATCATAAAGAGCCCTATGTTGGGGACTTCTGCAAGAGAGCCATCATAAAGAGGCCCTAAGAGAGAGGTTATTTCGGGAAAAAGGCTTCGGCTCGCCCGCTACTGGTAACTGCCTGAACTTCAGGCTCTAACTCTACAAGTCGTGTAGACGTGCATATGGTGTGTGTGTGTGTGTATATATATATATATGTATATTTGTCAACGTACGTCTTGCAGTACATCATAACCTCTGCAGTAGTCCTGAACCCTATCGCATCCCTCCCGCTGGAGCCCGGGATCCTCGGCCTGGACTATCCTGAATCCCCAACTCCAAAACTGTCCCCCTCCCCCTCTCCCCTCCCTCTCTCCCTCTCCCTAGCCAAGCCTCTGGCTGAGGCATTGGTGGCATCATGTTCAAGGCACGGCTTCCCGCGTGCGGCTCAGTGTTCTTGGGTTGCGAGTTTTGGGGTTTGGGGGGTCCTTTGAGAAAAGCAGACATTTTGTTAAGGGTTTTGGGGGTCGCTCAGGAAGTATGGCGCAGACACGTTGCTGAGGGTTTAGGGGTCCCCTGAGAAATAAACAACAAACAGAGCAATGAGTATCTTTCATGGGTTCCAAGTACAGGACGCAGTGTCCCATTCTTAAGAAGGCAACCGTAAAGCCATCCTAACATAGCCTTTTGACTTTTACTAGTATGCTATATAATGGTGATAAAGATGCATGAAGGCGATAGTATACTACGTACCAATCATCCTGACGCCTGTGTTCGGTGGTTTCTGAGGATCGTTGAAGATCTGTCCTGTGGGAGAGCGGTTGAGTCCCCCCGAATTCTGATCTGATTATGCCATAGATTATCTGCACGCGAAGCTCCAAATAAAGTACGGGTGTCGGAGCCACGATTGGGCCCATTCTGACTGACTCGGCGGTCTCCTCCGCAGAATCAGATCATGAGACCAGCTGAGGGAAAAAGGGCCATAGTGACCAAGCATCACCCAACTTAACTGCCAAACCCCAAAGCCCAAGCCTCTTGACGCCAGCCCTATCTAATCTAAGCTACCATAGTAAAGAAACCAGCTTATTTTCTTATAGATCCCAGTTATGGTAACCTAATTTAAGTTCCTCACCCTAAACCCTAAGCCCTACACCGAAGCGAAAATCGAGAGCTCAGGCGGCGCCTGGAGCATCAGCGTCAACTTCTGGTTCGCCATCCACAGAGTTGGGAGCCCAGGGGTTTAGGGTTTAGGGGTTTCGGCCGTTAAAATTAAGAAGGATCCTGTAAAAGGTTTCCTTTTAGGGATGCTAAAGGGTACTCTAAGATCTATAAGGAATGAGTAGAGGTGCCTTAATGAATATATTCTAATCAGGAACCACCCCAAACCCTATTCTGATTGTTAAGGCCCCTACATTATGGGATTCTGCTTTGTTGAGGTGTTGAGTTCAAGGTTTTGGGATTAGGGCACGAGGCGGCAAGAGGACAATAGGCATTTGGGACGTTGGCTTTTAGGATTTCCACGAATTGTCGGAGTTCCTGGATTCACAGAGCGACTCGGTCCCATGGAGGTTTGAAAAAGACGAATAACAACAGTATGACCGTAGCGACAGCATCTGTTTACAGTCCCCATCAAACTGCACGAATATAATGTAAAATCAAGAAGCCGGCTAATATTCCTCCTTACAGTGCCTCGTTATCAATGTATTATATAAAAACAACCCTATTCTTTTCATTATGCTCCGCGAGCTCAGACCTCGGGATCTGCGAATGTACTGACACAGCCCCGTCGACAGACAAGCTGCGGTCTTTGGGTGCCAAAGCTTCAGGGCCCCTTGTCCAGAATTCCGCCAAAATACCCATCACAGCACCTAAGGCCCCACAACCCAAGCCCTAACACCCCACACTGCCACCTTGGCGGCTTTCGGCGAGGTGCTGATGGAAGGCCCACACCCATTCCCGCAGCACTTGGAGCTAGAGTTGGAGCCACAGAAATTTGTTGTTGCAGTAAGCGTGTGCAAGTCTTCGTAACCCTAATGCACTTGACGAGCATGTCACACGGCATCTGGGGCTCGAAGTACTATGAACACATGAGTTGTGGGGTGAAGCGAATTTCGCCGTCAAGGCTTTCGCCGGCAAGGCTTCCGGCTTCGGGTTCGGTTGGTTTTACCTCGATGTGTTGATGTAATAGCAAAGCTAGCTTGTACAAGAGCAGTTCACCTCTAGCACTGCTAGTCTAGCACTTCTTCCATGCCACACAAGATTCCGTTGGTGCTGGCCTGCACCATGACTCCTCCCTGAACTTGCCCCTGAGCCATAAAATGCCGTGACATTCGGCCAATGACTTGATGGTTTCACTCTTTGCTCCGGCGCGCCTTCAAGATGTAGTAGACACACCATAAGCCGCTCAAGTTCTAGGAGTCGGCCCATATTCGTGTGTCACTTTCAAGAGATCGAGCCCTAAGCTCGGGAGTGACAGACCGGAGCCCCTGGAATCGCTGCAGCGGTCTAGCGCCGGTTCGGAGTCTTGGTGTCTTAGTGGTGTCACACTAAAAGAAGTGCGGGCTTCTTCTACATCGTGCAAATCACTCGCACAGGTAGAACTGTGGGAGCCTGAAGGCTTTGTCGCTTGTAGTAGCATTCCCTGGTCAGGGTTTTGTGCTAGTACTCAGTAGCATACAGCCCCAAAAGAAAATGCTGGTCTAAAATATGTGGGCATCACAGTAGGCTTCTATTGAAGCCTATAATTGGCAGGAGGAAGCAAGTCCCCAAGACGCAAAGTTTCCCTAACACCCAATCATGTGAACCAGCTAACAACTCAAGCCCCACAAACCAAACCATCAACCTACTAGCTCGAACGCCCGAAGCACGAACACACATAGGGAAGTATGAGGCGTAACCAGTAGACGTATTTTCCATGTAAAATTATAGGCCCGAGCTAAACTTGATTACTGGTCTCTGTCGCCAAGGCTTGCACGGCACGTCGAGCTGCTGTTGTCCGCCAGGGGCCCATGCAAGTCTCAGTTGCCCCAATCTCAAGCGAAGACATGCCGGCCCCAATGTCCCCAACTCCAAGGCCGAACTATGGAGAGTACCTAAGTCACGAAAACCTGGACACCACTTCCCGAGCGCTGAAGCAAGCATCCCTGAACCCGTCTACCCCTGCGCCGACAAACACCGGCTTCATGCAGTCCCATGAACAAAAGATCCAGTTCAGGGGCACCAGGGCCCGACCTCTAAACCCTACTTGCAGAACGCTAGGCCTTGAATCCCAGACCCAGAACGCTCTAAACCCCATCCCCTCCCTGTACTCAAAGGAGTACAGCTTCGCTTCAATCGCAGCAGCAAGTCACACATATTTTGAATTGTCAAAGTATTTTGCTTGCTTAACTAATTGCAATATACCCTAAATCATGCTACATAACCCTTGTGCGAGCCTGTTCCATGAACTCTCCCGCTTGTTACAGCGAATCTCATGTAGGAGCCCTGAAAGGAATGTGCCTATATCTTTAAAACCTTAGAGAGTTTCAGGATGTCGGCGGCAGTGCCTCCGTTGGTGCCCTCGCCAGAGACTTGCAGAAGGCCTTTCATAGAGATTTGCTTGCTCTTAAGCGGGGTCCTCCGGATTCGAAGGGCTTTTCGCTGTGGGTTTGCCTAGACCCGAAAGAACCTACCTTCTAAGGAGTTATGTAAAGAAGTCATAATCAGAAAAGGTAGGTTCTTTAGGGCCTGTTGGGATCGAGGCTTTTCAGGTGAAGGCTTTAGGTTACTTGGGTCTAAGGTTTAGCAACATAGGTAGCAACTTGAGCTGATGGGTCGGTTTTTTCGATAGTTGATGTTCTTCCGTAGGGTGCCAAATAGCGCGATTGCACATTTTGCGTGCTGCCATGAACGTTCTGCATCAGGGATGCAAGCCTTATTGGCTGCAGACTCAACTTTTCAATTTTTGGGGTTCTTATAAGGTAGTCGATTCTGAAAGTTTCGAGGGCCAGTGAGAAGCAGTATTCTCGGTAGGAAGAGCCTTCATCTCCTGTTGGCTATAGAGGCTGCATGCCGAAACGGTCAAGCTGAACCGAATCGCCGTGAAGCTACAATGTACCCGGGTAGTATTAGCTTTGGCACGTAAGGGTACCTCCATGCAAACCTCGTAAAAGGCTATGTATACATCAGACCCCAATGGGTCCAAAGGACCCAACAATCAGGTACTCGGTATTGGGTTAATAGTTAAGTTATGTATGTAGGTTAGGATTTCGGAGAGTATATGATTATTGGGTACTTGGACCCTTGGGGATATATGTACAAGGACCCAGAGAGTTCTAGAATTGCTTCAGGACGCCGAGAATGCAGAGCTATCAGAGCTGGACGAGGTCGGGTTCGTCATTTTGGTTCGGGGGCTTACTGCGTGTTCCGCTAGGGCATGCTTTTCACGTTTGTAACATATATTTATGGCCTTTTCATATTCAAAACATGATTGTTTTGGGGGCTTATGGTCTGGGGCTTGAGCCTTAAGCAGCTTCAATCCCAAAACCTTAAAAACCTAAAGCCCTACACCCTTAGCGAGCGCCATGCCCCTGATGTACCTTGTCAGTTTCTGGGGGGGATCTACGGAAAAGGTGTCCCGAATCAAAGCTCCAAGCTCTGCGGTGCGAGAAGTAAAGCCTGCAACACCACCCTGAAGCCCCAAATCCGAAGCTTAAGCCATGGACAGTTGGGCTTTCACGGCATAGGCCCAAACCTTCGCATCACAACAGAGATGCTTCCTTCCGCAAGGCTTCAAGACTGGAAACCGTGTTGACGCGAATAACCCGGCCTTCGACATAGTATAAAATATATAAAACCATGAATCATACTCCTTATAAGAGTCCAGTAAGCATACCAGTCTATACTCAAATACCGCAGTCTAATCGTAGCGCTGTCCCCTGGTAGTGCTCATACTCTATTCTGATACCCCCTATGTCACGCCCTCGTCACAAGACCTTCTTTGCGGTCCGACTCTTCCTCCTCGACCGTCTCAGCGCGCTGCTGGGTGCTGGCAATGCAGGGAAGCCCAGGGATTCCTCAGCCTCGCCCGCAGTTCCGGGTTTACTGTAGGGGCCTTAATAATTACCTATACTGCTGTGGGGGTTCCTTATATTATAATTATGGTATGATGGGCCCAAAAACCTTATTCTCGTTAAATTAGACCCTAAGGTTTTGGGCTTCAGGGTTTATAGGGTTTAGGGTTTACAGGGCTCAGGGCTTGCTGTACACGGGGTTTGGGGTTTACATGGTCTAGGGTGTATATGGGGGCTGTCCTAGCTGTCTGTAAGTCTATACAATCCTGAAATCGACCATATAAATGCATACCAAATCCTCGCGCGCCAACGCGGTGCGAAAGAGATGATAAAGGGAACTGCCTAGTGGTGTTTTGGCTTGCCTTTACTGGTCAACTACTTTCCTAAGCCAAGCTGTAAACGAACCGTCTCACCTGCTCACCGCAAGACTCGCCTCCTCCCTTGCCTAGATTGGCACGGCAGGCGAAAGTGTTCAAAGATTGCCGCAGTTCGGGTGCGCTTACTGCAAAAGACACACTTCCAAATCAAACCCTCCTGTCTCAATAAGTGGCTGGGGTGACCAACAGGGACAGTAGCACTGCCCGCTCCTATGCACTGCTGTGCGGCACACTGTTTCAAGCGTGCCTGGGACATGTTACTGCGAAGAAGCAACCGACAATTTGCGCAGCAAGCCTTCCCTGGTTTCACTTGCCAAACATGCTGTGGGTGAGTGACGGTGAGGTGCTCGAGAAACTGCTGTTTCGTTGGCCCTTTAGGGCCATGCACTTTACCCAAGGCTGCGCAAGGGTCAGCCTTCTGCATCCAGAACAAAGCAGCAGTGACAAGGTGCTCCGCAACTTCAACCACACGGCGGTCAACCCAGTCAACGACAGCAGCTCTGTCCCAATCCGTATGCTTGTTAGCGTGGGTTTGGGCCCGCGAATCAGCCTCACGATTTCCAATCCAAGACCAGACGGGCTCGTCAGGAAACAGGTCGGTAAACTCCGCCTGTGAAAGATGAGCCTTCACCTTACGCACTGAAACACTTCTTCCCACGCTCTTGGCCCTAATTTCCGTCCACAGATCGGGATTGGTGCAATCAAGGCCTCTAGATCTGGAAAGCTTTTTGAAGCGGCGATGAACATAATCAGCATCAGTGGCCAACTCAAGATCTCCTACAGTCAACTGCAGGGCCTTAAGCACTGCCATGGTTTCTGCTCTTGGAACCGTCTGTTCAGAGCCAATAAGAGAAGCAGTGTACCTACCGACACAGACCCATGTATCCGACACAGGGCGCAAGGCGACAATCGAGTAGCTGCAACGCCGCTTGCGCGGATCACTGGTAAACGGTCCCCCTGACCCATCTGTGCACAAACGTAAGCCGTCAACGCTTGCAGGCAAAGTTTCGAAAATGCCGTCAACTTCAACATGTTCCTCATCAGCAGGCAGCAGGGAGGTGTAGTCACTTGGCACCAACAACTGGTGCCAAAAGCTGCGTTGCGAGGACTGGTGCGAGTTCAACAAATTCCACGACGGTGGGACAGGCGACTGCAGCTGAGACAACATCCATGGGCACTCCCATAATCGGTGATGTTCAACGCTCGCACCATGCGGACATTGGCACATAGGACAGTTTTCTCTAGCAAAAGGCGTGTGGTCCAGAAACTTGAAAGAACCTTGCACAACCACTTCAAGCGCAGGCAGCCTTTCAGGTTGACTCCGCTGCCAACTCCGATGCAACCTCCGGACAACCGTGAAATCAATGCCATTCACAAGTTCAGCCGTTTGGGCAGCACGACTGATGGACTTGCATTCATCTGTCTTCAGATGACCAGAAACAAGTTTCCACAGTGCTGCAGGCTGCAAGTTGTCGCGATAGTCAATCTTGACTGTGATACCGTCAGGCGTAATCCACTGATCCCAAGCAACCGGATTCCAATCCAACTGCATCAACAACGCAATTACAGCGGACATGGGGCCTTTAGCCAGCTGCCACGGGTACTTAACAGTCCGCAGATGCCTGAGACAACGCTCCCAAGCTCTTCGGAGAGCGAACTCAAGTTTTGGCAGCCCTTTCTGAACCAACCGGCACCAATTCTGCAACAACTGTTTCCTAGCAAGATACCAAGGGTCTTGTTGCTCTTTCAAAAGCCACAACGCGACGACCTCAACGCTACCAGTTGACTTGACTGGTCAATTACATCTTTTTGACTCTCATAACTCGTGGAGCATGTAAATTTTGTCCGTACCATTCTTGACAGCCCACCACAGCACTGCCAGCTTTGCAGCAGTCGGTACAGCGATTTCGCTTCATTCGTAATTTTGTGTGGCCAGTGGACGCCATGGGGTGGCAAGTCGAGCCCTATAGGGTTATTTTGGGTGTTGCTTGGGAGAAACGGCTCTGCGAAAGCAAAATAGCTCCGGGACACAGTCGTAGAGCTTGGTTCGGGGAGGGAAAGGGTTTGCAAAATAGTTCGGGGACACTGTGGTAGGGCCGTTTTGGGTGTTGGTGAGGGAAAGGGCTGTACAAAAACAGAGCAGCTCTAGGACGCCGTCGTAGGGTCGTTTTGGGTCTTGGTGGGGAAACGGGCTTGCAAATCAGCTCTAGGACACAGTCCGAGGGTATGACTACTCGTGCGCAGCTCCAATCGGATGTAAGGACCTTGGAGGACATTGTTGAGCTGTGTATTGATTGGTATATTTAAGAGTCTCTCTGCAGCTTTCAGAGATGCTGCCGTGCCCGAGTTATGTTGAGGTTTTCTTCTTTGTTGGGTTTTCCTCGCGCGCGAAAAAGCACTGAAGCTGCACGAAAGCGGCGTGGAAGGCACTGTTTCTGGGAGAAAGAATGTAGGATAACTATAGGCCTCGCGGTAAGAAGGACTTGGGGAAGACTTGCGTGGCATATGATACATATCTGAATGGTTCACGCTGCCGATGCGCTACAGTATGGTAGCCCCCGGATTCCTGTTCGGACTCTCAACCCTGCATCCCAAAAACCCCAAATCCCAAACAGATCCGTCAGCACGGGCAAACAAAACCCACAGACCTCAAAAACATCAAATCCAAAACCCCTGAGACCGAGGTGGCAAAGTTCCTCTCGGAGCATTTCCCCGCTGAGCGCTTTCAGCGGAGTGTGGTCTCCAAAGCCCTGCGTGCGTAGCGGAAAGAAGAGCGAGACTGCCAGTTCCAGAAATCCTGGTAAACGGTTTCAGTATGTTTTATTCACATCTTATGAACCCTAAACCCTAAGCCCTTTAGAGTTTTTCCGTAAAGGGTTCCGCTGTTTTGGAGCTTTGGGCATTGAGGGCTTGGGTTCTGCTAGGACTCCCAAGGTACACTCAGTAGGCCGCTTTGGGAGCCTTGGTACTGGGCGCCTCGATTGTCATGCAGGGTAGTTGGGGTCAGCGTTTCTCTTGGGTCTATAGGGTTTGAAAAGTCTTATACGGCTTTATGGTTCAGGGTTAAAGCTTACAGTAAGGTTTCTGTGTCGCAAGACAGTAGCTTTCTATTGTGTTTTGGTTTAATGTCTTCTCCAACACCTTAGTTTATGTGTTGTGTTATGCAGCCGTTTTAGGGTTGTGGGTTTTGGTTCTCATTTTCTACTAGGGCAGGTTTTTCATCCATTTATGTAGGTTTGACGGTTGTGGCCTAAGGTTTTATGTGTGGGGAAGTGTAGTTGTTGAATATTTGCCTGCAAAGGTCTGCAGGGCTGATGTAAGTTTAGAGTTGCGGTCTGTTCAAGTTTTACGGGAGGTCTCAGGATCTTGTTTTCATGTGTTTTTTTTATGTAGACTTCGCGGGCTCTTTTGCCCCGGGGGGTTGTAAGAAGGCGTTTCGGTTTAGGGTTTTTTTGCACAGGGTGTCGATCCAGGCTTCTTCTTTCTGCTCTTGCTACTCCCCTGAATCCTAAACCCTCACTTCAAGGCCCCACACCTTTACCTTCAGTGCTACACCGTAGCTCGGCCCAGCAAATCGCAACTTCCGGGAAGCTCACTGTCGAAACGCCATGGTGCTGGGCTCAGAGGGTTCCAGGATTTTCGCAAGGTAACGGTAGAAGGCCTGAGCAAGTAGAGTAGGATTCCGTTGGGCATGTCCTAAACCATGCAGAGACAATTCGAGCTTTTGATTGCGGCTGTAAGTTAGGCAGTTTTACGCTTAAGTACTTTTCAGGTTTAGGGCAGCTTCAGTTGGGTGTTCGGGATTTAGGTCATGGGGCTTGGGGGTTAGGATTTTAGCGGCAGGTGCAGCTAGGTCCGCTGGGTTGAAGGGTGTAGTTGTCGAGAGAGGTCTTGTGGCTTTGTGCTCATGATGTTTCGTGCTGGCTGGCCCTTTAGGTGCAGCTGTTTTGGCGTGTGCGCACATACCCCAATCCAAAGACCCTAAACACAGCGTCCGGGAGTAGTCTTCATTTGCAGCTTCTACTGCTGCCGCTGCCACTACTGCTGCTCCTGCTGATGCTCCTGCTCCTTAGGCTGTATCTTTAAGGGGTCCATGCCCAAAAGCCGCCAAAGCTGAGCTCGGAATCGAAGGATCAGAATGCAGTGGCAGGAAATATGTCAGCCTTCATACTTCCGGTGTTCCATGCCATATCGCAACCCCAACGTTCCCGCACACTGTCCCGGACTCCCCATGCAACCCAATGCTCCAGACATTTCTCGATGGATCAGGGGACCCAGGAAGGAGGGGAACATTAGCAAGGTAAGTCTGATATAAGGTAATTACACTTATATCTCTAAAAGCCGCAGCCTTAGAACCCTACTTGCCATGTCGCTGCTCTTTCAAGGAGATGCTCCTAAGCCCCACACAAACCCTGAACCTAGGCCCTAGGCACCTCCCTTTATGAATCTCAAAGACTTCAAACCTTATATAGAGCCTTAAACCCGGAGCCTTCAAGACCCCAAGCTCTAAGCAGGCTTCCCCTTTGCGCTCCCTGGGTTCCCGAAGCGCCCGGAGCTCAGTGTGGGCGTCTTTTAGGGCGCCTGAAGAGTTGGTGGTGTTATTCCTTCTAGGGTGCCAGGTGACAGCTTTAGTACAAGCCCGACTACAATCTTTACGGCCCTTGTGCGGCCCTTATATGACCCTCGATAGAAGTCTTATGGTCCCTAGAGTCGGCATTCAGTGTTTGAAGGAGGGTACTAGTAACTAGTAGTTCAGTAGTCAGGGTCGCGTCGAGTTTGAGGCTGAGTTCAAGTCTTCGGGGCTTGGGGTGCAGGGCTTGGCTTTTCCGCGGTTCAGGTCATCAGGGTTTATCTTTGTGGCATTCTCCTAAACCCCTAAACCCTAAACCTGCCATTTATGTCTGTAGAAAGAGAGAGGCTAGCGTGCGAAGGCTTCAAGCGGTTCGGCTTCGGACTTCCAATGTCCAAGCCCTCCAGGCTCCAAGTACACAATGGCCACCTTCTGTGGGTTTGGGGCATGGGATCTTCGTTGGGCTCTGAGGAACCGCACCTCTTGTAGACGATTTAGTTGGGAGCTCAGGGAAGCACAGACTGGCTGTGTGAGGTCCCTGAACCCTAAACTGAGTTCTTGCTAAGGGTTACTTTAAGTTACCATAATAAGGAAACCATACTGCTTACTATAGATCCCGATCGTTGTAACTTAAACTCAATTCCGAGTAAACCACGAGGTCGTGTCCTTGGGCTCAGCCGTGACGCCGCGCAGCACTGCCTCAGTCGCCGCTGCCGGGGCCGGGAGGGGTTGCGAGAAGGGAAACCGTAGCTCTAATGTTTACTATAGGGATCCTAATAATTACCAATACTAGCTTGGGCGTTCAATATTATAGATATAGTATTTTGGGGCCCTGAAATCCTAGTCTAATTATTACGGCCGCTATATTACCGTTCGGTTGCCCGTACTCTACCACCTCGATACTCAGACTGGGGTTTTGGGGGTATATTCCCAATTAGGCTCTCAAAGCCATACCAGCGAGAGTCGGAGTCCTCTAGGGGCCAAAGTCCATAGTAGTATTCTATATTGACCCTCCAGGTGCCCACCTCTGATGTTAATGCAAAAGGACCACTGAACCCCGACCGAGTACACTGTCGTCGTCCTTGACTTCCGACTAGACTGCTTCTGTGGTGCGTCCTTGTTGGAGTAGACAGCCCTTGATGCGACCGGAAACGTCGAGTGGATTATACCATTCTTAAACAAGCAGCAACGTATGGTCCCCCACATCCATTTGGTATGGTAAGAATCAGAGGGCCAAGCCCTTGCAATGCCCCCAGCCGATATGGCTGCCAAGTTTTGAACAGTTCATTAAGTGTGGCCATTCATGCTCCATATAGTAAAAGGCAGGACAAGCCGCTGCACTGCCCCCAACCCATAAAGGGTTGGGGGGGGGGGGGGCGGGCGGCTGCCCGGGGCTACTCTTTCCTTACATTTTTCAGCCTTCGGGTCGAGTGTGATGCTTAAACTCTAACAGGGTAGAGTGGGTTGGCATACAAGCAACGCTAGTGCAGCCCGGGGCTTTCCACTGGACACATTTTAAACAAGCATCTCATATATATATATATATATATATATGCTACCCCCCCCCCCATTGACCTACCTTTGTTGGGGGTCTCAGGAGCAATGAGTGGCAATGATGCATGGACAAGGGAGGGCCTATTTTTGTCGCCATTATTTGTTTGCACCTGTGGCTTTTTTCGCGTGTTTGTTATAGATAGTACTAGTACTGGTAATAGTAAAGAGTAATAGAGTAATACAATCATAGACTAATAGACGAATAGACGAACAGACTAATAGACAGAATAAACTAGTAGACTAATAGACTAATAGACTAATAGACTAATAGACGAATAGACGAATAGACGAGTAGACTAGTAGACTAATAGATTAATAGACTAATAGACTAATAGACTAAACAAACTAAACAGACTAAAAGACGAAAAGACTAATAGAGTAATAAAGTAACAAAGCAATAAAGCAATAGAGCAATAGAGCAATAGCAATAGAGTAATAAAGAAAGAGCAATAGTACAAGAAACAGTGCGTGCGAAGCGCGTGACCCGCAGGCTTTGCTCCATGACTTTATGCATTGGTAATGGTAATAGTAATAGTAATGGTAATAGTAATAGTGCTGCATAGTAATAGTAAAAGTAATAGTAAGAGTAATAGTAGAAGTAATCGTAATAGTACTAATAGAGGAATAGACGAATAGACTAATCGACTAGTAGACTAATAGACTAATAGACTAAACAAACTAAACAGACTAAAAGACGAAAGGACTAATAGAGTAATAAGGTAACAAAGCAATAAAGCAATAGAGCAATAGAGCAATAGAGCAATAGCAATAGAGTAATAAAGAATAGAGTAATAGTACAAAGAACAGTGCGCGCGAAGCGCGTGACCCGCAGGCTTTGCTCCATGACTTTATGCATTGGTAATGGTAATAGTAATAGTAATGGTAATAGTAATAGTGCTGCATAGTAATAGTAAAGCAGTACCAGTAACAGTAGCAATAGCAGTATTAGTAGTACGAGTAGTAGTAGTAGTAGTAGTAGTAGTAGTAGTAGTAGTAGTAGTAGGAGTAGGGGTAGTAGCAGAGTAATAGAGTCATAGAGTCATACAGGAAATAAAGTAGATAGAGTAATAGAGTAATAAATAGAGTTAGTGGAGTAGTAGAGTAATAGAGTATTAGAGTAATAGAGTAATAGAGTAATAGAGTAATAGAGTAATCGAGTAATCGAGTAATCGAGTAATAGAGTAATAGAATAATAGAGTGAGAGTATAAGAGTAATAGGGTCATAGAGTAATAGAGTAATAGAGTAATAGAGTATTTGAGTAATAGAGTAATAGAGTAATAGAATAATAGAGTAATAGAGTAATAGAGTAATAAAGTAACAGAGTAATAGACTAATAGAATACTAGAGTAATAGAGTAATAGAGCTTTTGGAGTAAGAGAGTAATAGAGTCATAGGGTAATAGAGTAATAGAGTCATAGAGTATAAGAGTATGAGAGAAACAGAGTAACAGGGCCCAGGGCCCCAAACAAACAAAAAAAAATGGCAGCAGAAACAGAAAACTAATGTGGCCAGATATTCTCGGCCCCAAGTTCAAGACTCCAAAAGATTGAGGCTTCTCAGCACTTTGGAACTGTGAGAGCTGCAAAACCTGGAGCGGCCCCAATCTTTTTGAGATTCAAGACTCAAAAAGATTGAGGCCTCTCAGCACTTTGGGACTGTGGGAGCTCCAAAACACTGAGAGGCCTCAATATTTTTATGATTTTGAAGCCAAAACGCTGGGAGGCCCCAAAAGACTCAAAAGATTCAATCTTTTGGAGGTCTTAGGAAACTAGCCTTAAAATCAATAAGATTGAGGCCTCTCAGTGTTTTGGAATCTGGAAGCTGCAAAACATTGAGAGGCCTCAATTTTTCTGAGGTTCGGGATTCCAAAAGATTGAGGCCTCTCAATGTTTTGGAATTTGGGAGCTGCAAAACACTGAGAGGCCTCAATTTTTCTGAGGTTCGGGATTCCAAAAGATTGAGGCCTCTCAGTGTTTTGGAATCTGGAAGCTGCAAAACACTGAGAGGCCTCAATTTTTCTGAGGTTCGAGATTCCAAAAGATTGAGGCCTCTCAGTGTTTTGGAATCTGGAAGCTGCAAAACACTGAGAGGCCTCAATCTTTTTATGATTTTGAAGCCAAAACGCTGGGAGGCCCCAAAAGACTCAAAAGACTCAATCTTTTGGAGGTCTTGGGAAACTAGCCTTAAAATCAATAAGATTGAGGCCTCTCATTGTTTTGGAATCTGGAAGCTGCAAAACACTGAGAGGCCTCAATTTTTCTGAGGTTCGGGATTCCAAAAGATTGAGGCCTCTCAGTGTTTTGGAATCTGGAAGCTGCAAAACATTGAGAGGCCTCAATTTTTCTGAGGTTCGGGATTCCAAAAGATTGAGGCCTCTCAATGTTTTGGAATCTGGAAGCTGCAAAACACTGAGAGGCCTCAATTTTTTTGAGGTTCGGGATTCCAAAAGATTGAGGCCTCTCAGTGTTTTGGAATCTGGAAGCTGCAAAACACTGAGAGGCCTCAATTTTTCTGATTTTGGTTATAGATTCCCAAGACCTCCAAAAGATTGAGTCTTTTGAGTCTTTTGGGGCCTCCCAGCGTTTTGGCCTCAAAATCATAAAAAGATTGAGGCCTCTCAATGTTTTGGAATCTGGAAGCTGCAAAACACTGAGAGGCCTCAATTTTTCTGAGGTTCGGGATTCCAAAAGATTGAGGCCTCTCAATGTTTTGGAATCTGGAAGCTGCAAAACACTGAGAGGCTTCAATTTTTCTGAGGTTCGGGATTCCAAAAGATTGAGGCCTCTCAGTGTTTTGGAATCTGGAAGCTGCAAAACACTGAGAGGCCTCAATTTTTGTGATTTTGGTTATAGTTTCTCAAGACCTCCAAAAGATTGAGTCTTTTGAGTCTTTTGGGGCCTCCCAGCGTTTTGGCTTCAAAATCATAAAAAGATTGAGGCCTCTCAGTGTTTTGGAATCTGGAAGCTGCAAAACACTGAGAGGCCTCAGTTTTTCTGAGGTTCGGGATTCCAAAAGATTGAGGCCTCTCAGTGTTTTGCAGCGCCCAGAGTTCCAAGGTGCTGCGAGGCCTGAATTTTTTTGGTTTTGGATACAGTCTCCCTCGACCTCCGAAAGATTGAGTCTTTTAAGAAACTAGGTCTTTGGGAACGCCGCTCCATTCGGGTACACCCCGCCCCGACCCACCCTTGCCTTTCAAAAACACCAAAAAGGGTAGGTCAATGGGGGGGGGGGGGTACCATATATGTAAACTCTGCAGTGTGACTTGACGCATGTGCTGGAAGCATGACTGCATGAGTCCTTTCTTGAAAGCTCAGCTTTTCCGCTGCCCTTTGTCGTCTCGAGGGCCCTTGGATAGAGCTAAAGCTGAAGGCGAACGGCGCATGCACAAAAGGATTCCTGCTGTGCGAGTGAAGCCTATTGTGGCTTGTTCATGGTAGCGGAGCCTACGGGCTCAGGGACTTGCGTCTTCAGACTTCCTGAAGATTGTGTGCGCTGCTATTGAGATGGCAGGCAGCAAGGAGGACTCCTTCCTCCGAGATTTATCCTTTTCAGGGATTCCCTCGGAATACCGCCAGTTCCGGCGGAAGATTCTGTTGAGTGTCGCCAGCCTGGAAGGAAAGCAGATTAAGTTGGCAGGACCCAAGATCCTGACCAGACTGTCTGGTGAGGCGTGGCGAGCTACAGAGCACTTGAGCGTGGCAGAGCTTCGAGCAAGTGATGGCTGGCTGAAGGTGTTGTCGGCCCTCGACTCTCATTACCGTTTTCTGCCGGAGACGGAGCTGAATGAGAGTGTGGATGAGTTCCTGTTCCACCTCAAGCGCAAGCCGAATGAAGGACCGACGGCCTTCATTTCCAGGTTCAAGGCGGCTCTCAGCCGCCTGGAAACGCTTATAGCCGCAGACAAGGCGGCTCAGAAGCACGAGCCCAAGCGCAGGCGTGCCAAGGTGATCGAGACAGATCGAAAGCCTTCGTCCTCGAGCAGTTCGGAGTCAGATATTTCCAGCATGGACCGGGAGAAGATGACGGCCGAGAATGTGAGGCAGGCGTCGGCGGCAGCCGCCGCCGAGGAAAAGCCGACTGGCTCGACGGAAAAGCAGCACAAGACAGTGGGCAGCTTCGTGTCGGACAAGTCGCCCGGAAAGGCGAAGGGGCCGCCATCGAGTGGCGGTCGCTCGGCTGGGAGCCGAGGAACCCACAAGGCCGATGATGAGAAGGCCCAGCGGAAGATGCTGGAGGACCTGGAGCTCCTGGAGCAAGGTCATCTGAAGTTGCGGCCGGTGTTCCCAGCGGTGGTACTCGGCCACCTCTTTATGCGGAAATACGGATTGACCAGAGAGCAGAGGTCGCTCGTCGTACGGGCTACTGGAGGAAGCTCGAAGTTCGAGGACGTGGAGCGCATCATCAGGGCGAGCGACTTTGAGGACCGGCGAGTGGATCACAGCCGTGACCCACGGTCAGTGCCGCGAGGTGCCCGGCGAGACACCGTCTTCGAGGCATCAGCTGACAGCCCCTCGCTGTCAGAACCTTCGTTGCCTTCCTCGGATGCGGAGGCCTACGAGGCGGAGCTGGAAACGGACGACGAGGACGTCCAGGAGCAGATGCTTGAGGCATATGAGATGCAGAAGCGAGCAAAGGAGGGTGTCAAGAAGCACTTCAAAAACTACAAGGACCAGCGCAAGCGGCTGAGGGAGATCAAGAAAACTCGCCAGCCCTACATGCCTGTCGTCGCCCTGGCTCCTGGAGCGTCAGGAGATGGAACGGCTGTGGCAGCCCAGCCGGCCGCCATGCAGCCCACCTTCAAGTATGATCGGAAAGGCCGCGGCGATGACAAGAAGAAGGGCGCCAGCCGCGCCCGCAAGGAGGACGTCCACCTGATCCAGAGCGAGATCCTCACAGAATTCTCCTATATGATCACGACTGAGGAGCCGGCGCTGACGGAAGAGATTGAGGTTTTCCTGGCCTCTATTCCCCAGGGCAATGCAGTGATCGATACAGGGTGCACCTCCTCGGTGATTGGCGAAAAGTCAGCCAAGCGATTGGCTGAGTTCCTGGCCACACGTGGTATCCAAGGGCCCGAGTCATTGGACCTACCTCCAGTGCAACTGCGAGGGTTCAATGGCGCCAGAACCACGTCAAGCAAGGGACTTCGCTGGACCATCAGGTTGGGAAATCTCTGGGGTACGGTGACAACCTACGTCATCCCTGGAGAAACTCCGTTCCTCTTATCAAGGAAAGTCCTTGAAGGAATGCAGGCCACCCTGGACCTTGGTGCCATGACCCTGACCAGCGAGAAGCATGGAATGATTGGGCAGCCTCTTGCTCAAGCCTCCAATGGCCATTTGCTCCTTCCTCTTGTACCTGAACCGGAGTCTGGTACCTTCCAGGCCTGCAGTGGCTCTCCGGAGGCACTGGAGGTCGATGATGATGATGATGAGAGGCCACCCGAAGATAACAGTAGTCATGCGGGGAGAAGTGAAATTATCATTCCCAGGGGTGGACCTCCTCCAGTGCCCCTAAAACGTAGCTTCCAGACCATAGTCAAGCATACACGCTACTGCCAGGTTGACGTACGAGAGATGCAAGATCACCTAAGAAACATCTTTGGTTGCAAGGTAGACAGTGCATTCTGTGCATACAAGCCAAAATTTGAGCGAATTCCTGTGCAAAGCCATACGACAACTACCTACCGGGCGATAGCTAGACTTGATAACACGGGAGCCGTTAGTGTTGATGCGTGGGAGGAGCGGCCCGCTGGCAAGCGGCGTCGCGCCTACGAGTGCCGCGACACGTGCATCTTCGCCTTCCGCCGGAAGCCGGTGAAAGCTGCCTCCGACAGGCAGTCTGTCGAGCGAGCAGAGCAGGATGCTGCATTGCCAGCTTCCCCCGAGTGTGTAGGTGCCGTGCCCCGTAATGACCCTAAGCACCTAGATGTCCTAGACTGCCAGTCATGTGACCTTGCAGGCCCGGACGCGGAAGCAACTGAGGAGCTCCCTGCTCCATGCAGACCGCCGTGTGACTGCTGTGCAGCCGCGGGTGTAAAGGTAGAAGGTAAGGCCACTGGAAATATGGAAGAATCCCAAGCCTCCCTGGACTTAGCAGCCCTTTATGAAGAAGCTGATTGGGTTTCCCTTGAGGTGTCACCCCTTGATGGTAGGACTAAGTCCCTAATTTGTCACCAAGTAGAGGCAGTCCGCCGCGCACCCTTTCAGATGCAGCTCTCAGCGGTTGCTAGCAATCCTGCCGAAATTCGAGATGAACTCCGAGACTGGCTGGGAAGTCAAGCTAGTGTACTCGATGAAAATCAACCTAGGGTTGCCCTCATAGAAGTCTTTGCTGGTAAGGCTAATCTTTCCCGCCAGTCTGAGAGGAACCGCAACGGTGCAAGCATTCGCATCGGCCTGGAATGGGGCCAAGACCTGCTCCGGGCTCGAGACCGAAGACTCCTCCTTCAGCTAATTGCCCTGACTAAGCCCCTAGACGTTTGGGTTTCTTGGCCTTGTGCGTGTTGGTCAGGGTGGTCTAGGCTTAACTTAGCAAAGGGTGGAGAGTGTGCCTCTAGGATTCGGTCCCGCAGAAGCCGCGAGAGAGTGTTTCTTCGGTTGTTCAGCCAGATCTGGCAGCTGCAGACAATGGTCGGAGGTCATGTGCATGGTGAGAACCCAGTTGGTTCCTACGCATGGGATCTGATAGATCTTGGGTCGGTGTATGAAGTTGATTTCCACATGTGTTCCGTCGGGTTAAGGCATCCCCAAACCAAGCAGCACATCCTGAAACCCACGCGTGTCGTCACAACAGACCCCATCCTGGCACAGAGTCTGCGAGAATGCCAGTGTCCTGGCCACGCCGGCCATGCACATCTTGAGGGCCAGCACAGAGGGCAAGCCCTGACTTCTTGGGCAGAGAGCTATCCCATTGGGTTCTGTAAGCGGGTTGTTTCAGCTTGGCAGGAGAGGGACAAACTTACAACGCAACCAACCGACAGTGATGACAACCATGCTGACGTTTTACTAAATACCGATTCCGAAGCCGACTCAGAAACGGAAGACCTCCTTCCCAACAGCGTTCAAGCAGAAGCCGGATCCGAGTCAAGGCCCCAGGAAGAAAGACCCCGTGTAGGCCGTGAAGCGTGCAAACACCGTGCAATGATTCAGAAACTGCACGTAAATACAGGGCATGCATCTAATGAGCAAATGCTTAGGTTGGCGCATAGGGCGAAGGCTTCTGCCGAAGTCATCCAGGCCATCAAGGATTTCAAGTGTGCTGTGTGTGAAGAACTGCAGGTTCCCCCGTCACACCGCGTGACTGCCATGAGCCACACCGAGACACCAAACCATATAGTGGGCTTGGATATTGTACAGGTTGAACTTAAGAAAGATTCTCCTCAGGGTGTTGTTGAGACTAAGTTCAATGTGCTTACGGCAGTGGATTACGCCACTGACTTCGCGCAACAAGTTGTGTTGCCGCCGGGGCCGCGCAGTGTTGCAAAAGCCTTTCACCAGCTCTGGTGCAGGCCTTATGGACCCCCACGTGTAGTCTATGTTGATCCCGATCAACGTTGGATATCCGGGGACTTCCAAGATTACCTGCGACATAACTCTATCACACTCCTCAGTGCGGCCACGGAGTCTCACTGGCAGATCGGCCGGGTTGAGATTGCCCAGCGCATCCTGCGTAATATGGCCAAGAGAGTTTGGAGAACCACAAGCCGTCCTGCTCATGAAGTCATAGAAACCTGTGCTACGACTTGCAATGAACATCTGCGTAAACACGGGTTTTCTAGTGCTCAGTGGTTCTTGGGTAGAGAGCCTAGGGTCCCTGCTAGCCTAGCTGACGTGACTGAGCGTGACAACCTGGCCACACAAGATGCCGTTCTGTCGGAGCCTGATTTCCACGCCAAGATGCACTGCCGACAGCTGGCCGCGCATGCCTTCATTGAGGCCCATGCACACGAGACGTGGCGCAAAGCTATACAAGGCCGAAATCGCCCCTTGCGCGGGCCATATGTGGTAGGACAATCCGTGTATGTGTTTCGCCGCGGTGCCCGCGGTCTGCTGTCGACACGGCACGGTGTCTGGCATGGCCCTGGCAAGGTCGTTGGCACCGAAGGTTTTCGGCATGATTCTCCAGTGCCACGTGTGATTTGGGTGGTCATCAACGGTCTCATGTATAAGTGTTCGCCTGAGTGTCTGCGCCCTATAGTCGAAGACGAGCAAATGTTCAAACAACTGGCTCAGGAGTATCATACCGGCGTGCTTGCGCCAGAGCTTGAGGTGCCCCGTAGGTACATGGGGCCCGGGGGACACTGTGTTGATCTTACCAACCAACCACCCGAAGATGCGGATTTTGATGACCTGCTGCCCCCCCTGGAACATGAGCCGCCAGAGCTGCCAGACAATCCTGCACCTGCGGTGCGTCGCCGTGTCACCCATGGTCCCGCCTACTGGGAGGGACGTGCGGCGGATCTTCAGGAATCACAGACCGAGTTGGGCCAGATACCGTCTCCCCGCCCACTGCCGTCTACCCGTCCCGGCGCGGATCTGCCCCAAGAGGGCGAGCGTCTGAAGAGCCGCCGTCTTGAGGAGCCGGAAGCCCCTCCATCTGTGACCCCAGGTCAGGTTCCAGATTCAATGTCGGAGCTTTCGTATTCGCCATCACTAGACCCAGAAAACCTGGAGGGCGGGCAAGATCTGGAGGGCGGGCCTGTTCAAGAGGGCGAGCCCGCGGAATCCAATGCACTTCCGCCGGAAGCCATGTGCTGTGAGGTGTCCTTCGAAATTTTCAAGGATGATGTGCAGGATGACATCTCATGTCTTTGGACAGCCTTGGCTGAATGTGCCGAAGTCAAGACTAAGCCTGCCAATAAGCGCCGGGTTGAAGTGAATTTTAGGAAGCTTGACTCTGAGGATCAAGAAAAGTTTCGGCATGCAATGTCTAAAGAATGGCAATCGTGGCTAGAAAACAAGGTCACCTCAATCGTCAAGGCTAAAGGCATAGACAGGTCCCGAATTATAGGCAGTCGCTGGGTCCTCACCTGGAAGACCAGCGCAGATCCTGACAATAAGAGTGTCGTGCCTAAGGCGAGATTGGTTCTTGTAGGGTACCAGGACCCTGACTTAGGGAAAATAGCCACGGATAGTCCAACCTTGCGGAAGGAAAGTAAGCATATCATCCTCAGCCTGTGCGCCGCCTTCGGGTGGATTCTTTGGAGTGCCGATATCAAGACAGCCTTTCTGTCTGGCGATGCTTCCTGCCGAAACATCCACTTCCGACCACCGCCCGAAGTCCGCAAAATCATGGGACTGGGTCCTGATGACCTGCTCCGTCTTGAGAAGGCAGCTTACGGATTGGCAGAAGCTCCGAGAGCTTGGTTCTTGAGATTGACCCGCGAGCTTAAGGCCCTAGGACTGAAGGTAAGTGCCCTTGACCCGTGTGTGTTTCTTCTGCGCAGCCCTGATAACCACCTCATTGGGATTTGCGGGGTACATGTTGATGATCTGCTAGGTGGTGGCACAGCTGAAATGGATAAAGTCCTCGCGAGACTTAGGAAAACCCTTCCTTTCGGAGAATTCAGGACGAAGACTATCAAGTACACCGGGGCTGAGATAAGACAACATCCGGATTTCAGTATCGAGCTCAGCCAGGAGTCGTACATAGAGAAGATGGATTTTGTCCCCGTGCCCGGTAAGTCAACCGTAGACCTGCCAGACGCTCGCGTGATGCGAGCCTGCTGTGGACAGCTGGCTTGGGTCGCTAGCCATAGCCGGCCGGATCAAGCTTTCCTGTCCTCCTACCTGCAAGGCGTTCAGGATCGTGCACAGTACCGTCACCTGACCATGTATAACAAAGCACTTCGCGAAATGAAGCATCATAAGGTTACCTTGAAATTCCCTTGCGTCCCCGCATCTGATTGGAGACTTCTTGTGATTACGGATGCAGGCTGGGGAGTCAGGGAAAGTGGCGAGTCACAAGGGGGACTCATCTTGTGTTTGTGCGAGAGCAAGGTTTTGCGCCAGGAGGAAGGCAAGTGTTGGGTCATTGAATGGGCCTCGAAGAAGCTTAGGAGGATCGTTAGGAGTTCCACCGCAGCGGAAACCTTGTCGTGCCAGAACGGTCTTGACTGCATTGAGTTTGCGCAGGCATTCATTCAGGAGTGTTTAGAGGATATGTCACCCCGTGAGTTTAGAACCTGGACCCCAGAAGTTCAGTCGGGTTTAGTGATAGATAGTAAATCCTTATATGATGCCCTGACTCGTTCTGCCTGTTCAACTGCTCTTGCAATTGAAAAGCGCCTGGCTATCGACTATGCCATCGCTCGCGCCAGCTTGCAGGAAAGGAACATCGTGCCCTTCTGGACAAACAATCTACAGATGGTTGCTGATTCGTTGACCAAGTTGAAGGGTTCGTCAGACATCCTTTACCAGTTGCTCTCCACATGTCGGTATCGCATTAAGCCGTGCACGCAGTCAGGAAGGAAGGAGAAGGCCGATGCAAAGCCGAATTACAAGAGCAGCTGAAGGCCTCCCAAGGGGCCCAGCACCAGGGGGTAGACTGTCTGCAGTCTGCGGCGGTGCCAACACCGCTACGGGGTAGATAGAGATTGGCAACAGACCGTGTCTCTAAAGTTTTTTGTTTTCCGTTTGTTTGCGTAGGTTGTTCGGAAGTCTGCATCGTCCCATCTGGCACTAGACGTTGAGCTCATAACCTGTACACCTCGAGTTCGCCATTGCCGTTGGGATGATAACCTGTGTGTTTGCTCCTGGGGATCAGAGCATTTTTGCAAAGATAGCCTGTGCCAATTGCCATCAGCCTACCTCCCGTTGCGGACATGTCCCGCAACAGCAAGGCCGATGACATGAGCGAACTGGGCCGACAGGACCGCGAGCACCTGGCCTACCTCTTGCGCCGCGCCATCACGAACCACCAGGTGGCGGACATCATGACCCTGATCAGGATCCCCGAGAGCGGCCGCCGCAAGCGCGACATCCAGGAGGCAGTGTCAGAGATGAACGCCTGGGGTCGCAATGTCCTCGGATCCAGTCAACCATCAACCGAGTGGATGGAGATTGGTAACTCCCCCAAGCGTGGCTATGAGGGCAACCGTTCCAGTGATGTCGGCCTGAGTGACTTTGAGTCCGAATCGTGGGACCCAATGGCTTCACCGTCCTGGGAGGGAAGTCCGTCTTCCCCTCCTCGTGGAGCACCTCGCGGACCTCCTCCTCCTGTACCTGTAAATGCTCCCCGACAGGCTCCTGCCCGTGTACCTGTTCGTGTGATTGTGCCGATCAGGCCGGTCAATGACAAGCCGCTTCCAGATGGAGTGCCCAGCCTGTCCCAGTGGGCTAACACGATCTACGAAGCCCCCAAGTTCAAGGCTGAGCGCTTAAGCTACTTGGAAATGGCCGAGCGAGCTCGCAATCATCTGGAGACCCTGGAGTATGTCATCTGGTGCTTCAGCAAGTTCGGCAACGATCCGCCCAAGCCCCACAAGGTGTCGGATTTCACGGCATTCCTCGGAGCTATCGGATTCAAGCCCTACGAGTACATCAGTGAGCTCAAGGAGCAGCGCGATGCAGAGAAGGTCGCCACCGGTCGCATCTACAAATCCTGAGACCTCTGAGTAGGAAAGGATCATCCTCAAGCCTCGCTTTGAGGGCGTGTAAACTCTGCAGTGTGACTTGACGCATGTGCTGGAAGCATGACTGCATGAGTCCTTTCTTGAAAGCTCAGCTTTTCCGCTGCCCTTTGTCGTCTCGAGGGCCCTTGGATAGAGCTAAAGCTGAAGGCGAACGGCGCATGCACAAAAGGATTCCTGCTGTGCGAGTGAAGCCTATTGTGGCTTGTTCAATATATATATATATATATATATATTTGTTTTTTAATGATATGTATATTCTGTGTAGATAACTATATATATATATATATATATATATGTATACTGTTATATACATCCTTTCAAGTGCTTCCGGCCAGGCTGCCTTGGCGCGTGCAGCCTCGAATCACTCGCTGCACTCCGTGCACTCCGTGAGCTCTGTGGGCGGAAGGCGAGGGAGTTTGGGGCTTCTGGTTCTGTTATTTTGGTGGGGTTCGGGGCTTAGGATTCTGGTTTGAGGGTTTGGGTTGAAGGGTTTAGGAGATTCGGGTCTGGGGATAGGGTGTGGGCGGAAAACGAGAGAGAGTTTTGAAGGATACGAGAGTTTGTCAGTTGACGGAGTTCCATGAAAATTGATTTTCTTGGAGTGCATATATGCTTTTTTGTTTGAGAGGAGGGGGTGTTGGGATGCGGCTTCAGAATTTCAGCTGAGCTTGAAGCGCGTGTGTTTAGTTTATATAGGGTTTAGGGATAGCTCTCGAACATCACGGTTAGCTTATAACACTTTACATGCTACATTCGTAACATCCTCCACAACACCGAGGCAGTCTATGCGATGCCGCCCCAAAACAAGTTTAGAGATTGCGGTTTCGGGAGTTTCAGGTCAGGAACTTCAACGATGAAGTGCCAAAGCCGAAGTTCGACGCCCAAAGCCTCGCTCCCGAAACTTTCTACAGGACCCCGAAGACACCGCGCACGCCGCGGACGCCAAAGACCCCGAACAGCGCGTTTGATGGCCCGCTGAGCCCGACAGCCGAAGCCTCGGGTCCTTCGAAGAGCTCAGACTCCATGAAGACATTTTGCTGTGGAATATAAACTTATGGGGTTTTAGTGGAAGTACCTGCTAGCTGGATATTTAGCTATAGGACTTCAGGAGAGGTCTTTGAGGGAGTGGGCAGATTTGTCGACGGTCGGGTACTTGGACGCTGAGGGTCAAGGGAGATTCAAGCGGACCTTTGTTCGAGAAGAGTCGGCTTAAGGACCCAAGGTTTTTGTGTTTAGGATTTGGGTTTTATGCTGTACAATTTGAGGTATTGGGCTTTGTAAGCCGGGGCTTCGCAAAATGGGGGGCCCCATCAAGGAGGGCCTGCAAGCACTACCTCAAGTTTGCATTCTACCTTCCTTTCGTTGGTTTAACTGTCTAAGCTGCTATTGAGGATCCGGTATAAGGTAACCTCCAAAAAGGAACTTGAATGGATAATACAGGTAGGCCGCAGAGTTCAACAACGTGTTGTCAATTGTCGATGGCCTTGGGTCCCAGTCTTATGGCAACTGTCCTCCTGGAGAGTTCTTCGATGACATCCCTAACGTGCACACTGCGCTTGAACCCTAAACCTGAAAGGTGTCCAGAATCTGTTTGGCGGTCTGTCTATCTGAATGCAGAGACATTGTCTACTATGGTACGCTGAAGCCCGAAAACATTGAGAATAAACCCGATTGTAACCTTTGAATGCTGAACCTTGCACCCTAAAGCCTGAAACTGCATCTTTTGACTTTTCAAGGTAAGACTTAGATGCGTTCCGCGTGTCAAGTACGAAGATATGCGGAAGCATTAGAGCTTGAGCACGAAAGAAATTGAAACACAACACCTATAGTCCTATACCGGCAGACCCTGGCAGTCCGTCTGTATAGCGGGTTACAGGTCCTGAACGCTGTAGTTCCGTCCGATGTTGTCCATTGGGTCATTAGGCTAGCAGTCTGCCATGATCTAGTTTCCAAGCCTTAAAACTTGCAAACTTATAGCCCTAACCGTATGCTGTGGCTCCAGATACTGAAGTAGCAGGTTACTACCTGACCATACTGTATACTCTATACCCCAGTAACCCCAATATAGGAGTTTGCGAAAATACGGAACCCGAATATAGTACCCTGAATAGTAGATCCTTGCATATTATAAGGACCCCAAAATAAGGTACCCCTAATCTTCGGGAACTCCCATATTTAGGTAACTGGAGCCCTCGGGATTCTTTCAGGTGGCTTTCGCAGCAGCTCGTGCCCAGGCGGTCTCCTAGCTCTCTGCGTTTTACGATTCTGAGTTGTTGTTTAGAGCTTAGGGTTTAGGGTGGTTTAGAATTATCGGTTGTTGTTGGCTTCGAGTGGGTATGTTGGAATATTTACGCATAGAAAGGTACAGATGTATATGGATATGATTATCTCAATCTCTCTATATATATGTGTATATATATATATATATATATTTATATAGATATGTATGTACGTACATGCTCACATGGACATACACATACGTAGGTAGATGGATAGTGAGATAAAAATGTGCAGAGGACATATTAACTTATTATCTTTATGTAAAATTCACGTATACGCCTGTCGGGGCTGTATGAGTCAGCCGAGGCAAATCGGAAAACTGCATGTAAACGGCAAGGACCCAGAATTAACTTCTATGGGAAATACTAGCGAGCGATGCTCTCGATTAAACATGAGGCCCTATAGAATCATTCTCGAACCCTTGCGTGGTCCTTGCAGGGACCGATTTACCCACTACAACCCAAAGCACGAGACCAACTTTTCACAAGACAGGAGGCGCCCAATGCTTTCGGCTACAGTGGCGAGCCGGCTTCTCCCGAGCGGCTCATGCAACAGCCTGCGGCCTAAGTTTTTCTAGGTCTGAAGAGTTCGTAAGTTGCTTCGGGTCTCGAATCCCAAAACAACCCTAGAGGATCAGTTTTCGACGATCTCCCCTTGCGGCCCTATACAATACTGTACGTATATACCTCCATTCTGTCTGTGTAATTGATCATGGGGACTCGGGCGGGTTGTATACTGTGCAAGAGTGTTCTGCAGGCTCTGGGTCTGGTGGATCTGGTATACGGATTCTACAGGGTTTTATGCAGCGCAATACTGGGGCCTGGGGATTTGAATAGGGTCATGGGGTATGAGTTCGACCGGCCATAATTGGAAGTTTTTCATGGGCTTAGGCTGAACTATTGAGCAAGGTGAACCTGTTTCTGTGTTGCCGATTTTTCGTTATCTTGTAGAAGCACGGTGAACCAAGGTTTTCCAGCCCACTCCGGCCCGAGATGTGGGACATATGCTTGAGGGTCTTGGGGTTGAGCTGGCGACCAGCCTGTAACTTCCATGAAGTGTTTGACCAGCTCGCACCCAGTCTCAGAAAGCGCACACACGTGTTTGGGATACTTTATTTAAACAAGGATCCTTGTCGTATGACTTTACTATTTGCCATCCAAAAGACGGGATGATCACAAGAATGACCAGCAACCAAGCCGGAAACTAAAACTGATGGTGCACGAAGGAAAGATTCATCACTGCAAGCATCTAATATCCCATAAGTCACAGCTTATTCGAGCCTGCAACCCCAAGATCGTAAATTCTCAGGTAAACCCGACACCCTTAGGCGGCAACGCCACCACCCCGAGTTGCCGATTCTTTTGGGGCAGCCGCCGAGTCAGGCGCACTCTCCAGTGCAGGATGTAGGCTTTAGTAGACGGAGGTCGCCTGGGTGGGTATGACGATTTCAGAAAATTGTTAATTAGTTACCAGCAGATTTTCGATTATTTCGAGTGCATCCTATAGCGTCCTTCGGAATTCCCATTTCGAAGATAGTCGGGGCCCAGTGATTTCGGGCCTGTGTGGTTTGGAGGGTTACGCACCAAGTGCTTTGCGATT